TGCCTTGAATACCAGTGTCCTAAAGACTTTTGGTCACAACGGGGTACTATGCGGACTCTGCACACATAGTCCCACTTCTTGTGGTTACAGTCTTTTCCTCTTATCATAAATTTATGCTGGAAAAAGTCACAGATTTTAAATGATATCCTGGCAAAAAGTATTCACCAAATCGCACAAATTGAGTTTACAAATTCGATTTTTCTTCAGCTTTTCAGGGGGACACATCCCCCCTCAGACCCCCCCCCCCCCCTGTCCGCGCAAGCGCGGAACGCGGCGCTGACGCGCCGCTCAATATTTTCTCACACATTGGGCCCCCCCCCTCGACGCCGGCTGGATCCGCCCCTGGCGTAGCTGTAGTTTGTAGTAGTAGTAGTAGTAGACTTTATTGGATAACTTGTTTAGCACAGGGCTAATCTGCCACAAGGTCCATGACCCCGCCCCACCCCAAAAAAAGCATTTAGTGGTGGTGGTGGTTATTTTACCTGACTGCTAAGAAAGCATAAATGCTTGTAAGTAAACAACCAGACGGCCGACGGCTTTAGGTCCTCTCCGAGGGACCTGGTAATGATAATTAATGCCTTACCAAAGGGCACTAGCGTATCGACTTGGTTTCGAACCCGGGTCACCGGATTACGAGACCACTGCTCTACCCATTGTTTCATGTACAGGATCCCCGTGTCAACTCTCAAAAGGAGATATTTGAACAAAATATGCATCTTAAAATAGCTGCATTTACACTGCATACAAAATTCGTCGATTTTTAATCACGTTCCGGTGTAAAAGGAAGTCCCCAAAACCGACGGTTTTTCAAGATGGTGTTGGGGATGTGTAAATGGGCCTATTGTGTTATTTCTAGAATATAGGTACATTTACCTGTCTAAGCGCATTGCATATATCTTGATAACATAGCTAGGCCCGTCTTATATAGAGTTGAGATTGGTCCAAATCAATCGCAAGTCCTCTAATTAATCGCAAATTTGCACTCCCCTATCTCTTACGTACATAGTTGCGATTGATATCAATCGCAAATGACTTGCGATTAATATCCGACGCTTCATATTAAGACGGGGCCCATGAGTAATTACCATTGCGTTCTTGCACTGTATACGCGAAAGTATACACTTTGCCCGGTCTATTCTTGCTGTACTTCCAAGCAGTCAGCAGCGAATTTCATGCCTGTAGTTTGGACGAATCGGAGGCTTAGCATATTCCTATGCGGTATAGAAATAATCTACTCTTATGTAAATCATGGATTCACTTTATGAGAAAAAAACATAGGCTGATATTTTTCCTGCGTTTTTGAATATGATAAAGAGTGCAAAGTTGCATTCAATTAACCCCTACCTCCCAAACTATTTCTTGGCATTGAGATAGAATATCTTATCAATACAGCTTAGATCAATAACTTCGGAGTGATTATGAAGATAATAAGTGATGTATAAAATATGATACTCCAAATTCATATCTAACTCATTTTCGATTTATAATAGGTTAATCTTCTCCGTTATTCTCGTGGTCTATGAGCTTCTATGTCATATTATGAAAATGCATTGTATTCACTGCGCCTTTAAAAAAAAAAATCCATATCAGTCTTCGTTCTAATAAAAGCACAAACATAAAAAACGTGATCCATACTGACCAAATTTGTATCAAAGATAATTCAAGAATATAACAAACCACAACAATCAAATAAATCAATAGAAGAGTAACTATGAAATGATGGCCATACAAAGCGACAGTGGTAAGCATGATCAAAGTTCGTGATTGCATGTGATAGAAATAAATCAATTAATTATTATGGTATAAACAGAGTAAAGACTTTGGACCCAGTTATAATCATATTCTATTATGGTGATGAAAATATGACAGATTTTGTCCCCTGTTTATTTCACAATTGTATCTTCAATTGTTTGCACTTTTTGCTTTGTTATGAAACAGACTAGTTTGGGGATATGAATTGGGTTATACGTCAATTTATGGCAGGATAGTTAACATCTTTTTCATATGTTTCATTAGTAATATTTGTATAATTTAGAGGCAAAGGTTTTATTTGTCATTCATATTCGGATCCAAGGAAGCGGATCTCCTCTCCTTGATATCATGTTTGCATAGCTTAGAACCGTATCAGAGCAAATAAGGATTTAACCAAAAATCAACCTTTGTTTTTCAAAAATATACTGAAAGCTACGCTAACAATACTTGTATTTCCTCTCTGACATCATTTAAAATGAATTTGAGTACAGCAGCTGATACTGATTGTTTTTATAATATTTATCTACAAGCTAGTAAGTTAAGGAACACAATAATGAATATTCATAGGCGTGCTAAAGTAATGTACAACGTGTATTATTCACGACTCACAATTTTTCTTTAAATACATAAACCGGTTAATCTTAAATATTGAGGACGATCGCTTTCTTTGTTCACGAGAGAGCAGATGAGTACAAGGCATTAATAAATAATCACAAACCACTAATACCGCAACTTTCTTGTTGTGTCTTGGCTATTCAAAGTGTTGTTTTTTGCACAAAATATAGACATCTAACACAAAGAAATAGTTCACTATCCTTATTAACTGTTTTCATACCACCAACAATGGATTACGAAGAACTATGAGAATGAACAAAGAATTTCTTACATTTGCTTTGTTGTTTTCTTGTTCCTGCTACACCTAACTAAAATCCGAATAAGTATAATTTTTCTGTTTCCTGTTTACGTCCTGCCTACTTGTAACTGTTAAACATTATCCCTTTTTTGTGGAACCAAATAGATAATATTACATGTACTTCTTCTTCTTTTGTATTAATCCATTCCTCGGATACCCTGAGTATTCGTAAAGGACGTGTTTGTCAGTCGAGGTTTAGTGTCTTACTCTCTTTAAAAAAAAGAGTGAGTTTTCACTCTATCGTCACTTTTTTGGGAGTGACGTCCATGATCACTTGTTTGGGACTGAATATCGGTTGATTTTCGAGTGCTCTCTAAGAAGAAAAGAGTGAATGTTCACTCTATTTTCACTACATTTTCACTCTCACGAGGAGTGACGTCCGTGATCACTCGATTTTTTTTTTTAGAGAGTACAAGACAGTTTAGGCCTTTACATATTAATCATAGCACTAATGCGGGATGATTTATCAATCAATCAATCAATCAATCAATCAAAATATCAACTGATAAGTTGATCCGAAGCCTAGATCATTTGACCAATCAGCCCTGCTGGAAAGAACACACTCATTCACAGTGTGAATCACACTGTGTTTCACAGTGTGCTCCACAATGTTAAATTGGGGCGTTTTCACATTGTGGTCGATTCGTTTCACACTGTGGTTCACAATGTGGATAACCGGAAAAGGAAAGAACACACTCAATCACAGTGTGAATCACACTGTGTTTCACACTGTGAATCACATTGTGCTCCACAATGTTAAATTGCTGTAACTTTTGCCCATTACATCGAATAACCATGTTACATGTACATGTAAACATATACGACCTTAGTACACCTTTTTGCTATCGCGGGAAATCGCATGTGCATAACCACAACAAAGAGTATTACTATTACCTTTGCTGTTTATAATGCGGAATTGCCGCCAGATCGTCACGACCCATGCACTGACCTCGATTTTTTTTTTTAGGTTTTAGGTTTGGTGTTTTTATGTTTGCTTACAGTGCGATTGGTTTGTTAAAAGGTGTACGACGGAAAGGTAGAATCTCAAAGCTGCACGATTATGTAGACAGGGTTTGTGAAACGTCCTTGTATAATAATATTTACCTCCTAAAGTAACGATATTAGTTGTGATCCGGGGTTGTAATCACCGTAGATATTAACAGGAGCAAACTAAAAGTTCATATCTGATCTTTGTTTCAAGCAACATCAATCTGCAGCTCAATAAATCTCAAGACAATTGTCTCCACTCCGTCATGACCTTTAATAGTAGGCCAACATTGTTAAGAAAAGACACACACAAATGATAACAATATACCGTACAGCAAAAAATAAATAAATATATAGACTATAGGGTTTGACAGTCAACCATGTAAACGAAGGTTGGCACATGCAGTACAAAACATTCGACCAACTACATGTATTTCATCCATGGACACACGGTGGACTTACAGTAAACCGTTGTACTTTTAATTGAAATAAATGCCGAGAGAGAGAGAGAGAGAGAGAGAAAGAGAGAGAGAGAGGGAAAAGAGAGAGAGAGAGAGAGAGAGAGAGAGAGAGGGAGGGGGAAAAAGAGAGAGAGAGAGAGAGAGGTGATGCAATGTCTTGACTTTTTGTCAAGAGAAAGATAACATGTTTCATTGTCATATCATACACTCATGCAAATATCTCCCAGATGGTTTGATTTTATAAAGTATAATAAACCAACCCAAACGAACCAAAACAAAAAGAATACATTCATTTTGATTTAAAACAAAAACAAAAAAACAATGCAAATAAACAAACAAACAAATAAACAGCATACTCGGCACTCATATTTAGCTTACACCATGGGTGATTTCAGTGTCTAAGATCCATATTACCTCCCAAATTACACGATAATTATTTTTTTTAAAGGGTGCAAACTTATATGACAACAATTTACATCAGTGACGGATTAATTAAGATTCGTGTAAATATTCTCATATTTATCCTATCTCTTTAAAACTCTCGTATTGTAGGGTTAGTTTTCATATCATTGCATATGTAGCATTGACAATATTACTAATTCCTTAATTTGTTGTCTAAAGCCCTTCGCACATTATTCCATCCATCTTTAAGAAGGCTTATATGCACTAAACTTTCGGTTGTTAGTATTCTTATTATAATTCAGAACCTACATCAGGAAGACGATTAAAGAAAAAATGTTTTGATAAAGACTTCTACATCTAATATAAGTGCCCTATTTTCGAAACTTGGATCGCAGGACGATCGGATGGTGTGCGATGGGCCTTATTACGATGTAAACAGAGTTTTTTTAAGGCGAGAGGACTGTGAGGAGTGTGAGCCTACCTACCTCTGAAACGAATGAAGACCTGCTGGATGTTGGCGGTACGGGAAAGCAAAGCTACGCTTCTTGATGTGATGCAAAGTGACAATTCGGAACCTATCAAAGCTTTGGAAATTGCAGTAAACTAAGATTCAATAGATAGGGAGAGTGGAGCTGAGGACGAGACAGTTGTACGACCCTGCGGATCTCAACGAGGGAGGCGGCGGTGTGGTTCCGTGATTTTATTTCCTTGTCTGCCCTATACCATGCAGGTCATCCACGAACGAATAGAACCCCCGCGGTATCATGCACGGAAGATCAACAACAGTGACTCAGTTCGGGTACGCATAATAAGCGTGCCTGGATTTTTATTTGTGTGTCGTTTTCTTTACCTTCTCGTAAAAAAAAAGTTTTTTTTCAAAGATGTTTATAAAATAATCGCAATTCATGTCCTTTGTGCAGGTACGACATAAAACCCTGAATAAAAGCTGTATACCTGACTGATTTTTATGCCAAATTCAAGCTTATTTTGTACATGACTTTGGTGACAATTGTTGAATAAAATACGAGTCTTTGTTAAAAAAATGTCGATGTAACTTTTTAATTCTTCGTAATTTTGTTTACTTCACTTCAGTGCAGTGGATCTCTCATTTACTTGTCATTCTATGACGTATCGTTTCTTACCAAGCCAATAGTTGCTTTCAGAATTAATATGTCGATTGCTTCCCTTATAATTATTGGCATCAAGTTGATTCCATGGATCTCAGGAGTAGGCCCCTACTTAACTAGCCCTCCGGCCCCTGCCCAAAAAATACATATTGTGCATCTCTCATATAGATGCACTGTGATATCACTTATCACTCACACCCCTGTCCCTCCTATAGAGTACAGTAGATCTCCATCTCCTCCCTCCCACTCCTCCCCCCCCCCCCCCTCTCTCTCTCTCTCTTCGCTGCTCTCTCCTCTATCTAGCTCTTTCTGCTACCCCACAGTACCCATCACGATATTCGATTACCTCAGTACAGTAACACCGCGATCATTGACGGGTCGGAGAAGAGAAAGGGGCGGGAAGGGGTTGGGGGAGGGGGTTCACTCCCCCCTCCGCGCAAAGCGCGGAAGCTTTGACCTTTCATTAATTTATTAGAGTAAGAAGACGATTCGTTGTACCATTCTGGACTCTTGTCTTTGTCTGCTCCTTTTTCTTTCTACACCCTCTCCCTGTTTTCTCTTCTCTCTCTTTTCTCTCTCTCTCTCTCTTTTTTGGCAGGCGGATTTTTTTTTTTTTTTGGGGGGGGGGGGGCGACCGCCCCCTGGCTCGGCATACAGATACACATATCAAAATTTACTTCGTGTATATTTTACATTACTGGAAGTTCAGTTGTAACAGGTCAAACGTGTACTGTTTTGTGACGAAACGACCATTTCAATATATATCTACATGTATTTCTATCAATAACTAATTAATATCTCCTCAAGAAGTGAACAGAAAGAAACAAACTTTGAACTTCAAAGAAGTATGGTTCACACATATTCCGAGTAAAAGCACACTTGTCATTTAGTTTTTAAAAAACGACATTCCACAGCTATGAGAAAGTTTATGACGTACTTACCGGTCTCTTGCACGGATAATTAAACAGAGAGTGTAACTGTTATAAAAGGGGCAGAGGTATTAGCCAGATTCGCTCCTACACTGCATCTTGGGCAGGCAGAGAAGTCGCCTCTTCAAGCCTCTGGGGTTACATTAGGTAAGAAGATTATCCTTCTGTCAAGTTTGATAATTATTGAGATAATTAGTATTATGTAGATGTATTCTGATGTTGTTTTATAACTTTGGTATTGGTCTAAATGATAATTTGTGCTGAATTAATATGCATTCTGTAAGGTGCAGCATATTATCTGTTTAATCATCAGTGGGTTGATTTCTTTAGTGAGTTAAGCACTTGATTCTGATTTAGTAATAATAATTTGAGATGATTTAAGATGTCATTATGTTATGTTATATTAATTGCAATCTTTGGGTGATATAGTTATATCATATGTTGAGGTTAATTTTGCATAATCATATTTTGCGTAACAGTTGTAAAGTGACATTTTAGAGAGTTAATAGTTTGCGGTTATAGTCAATGAATTATGATAAGTTTTGTGTTTTGGAGTGAATTCCACAATGATATCTATTAATTATTACTCCTTCAGGTGTTACCAAACAACATGTAAGAAGCGGGTACCATCAGAGGCCAGATTGTCAGGGTGAGTGGTAATCATACAAACCACTAATTCAATGTAGTTTTAATTGTAAATTATGTTTCATTGTTTGATAAAGTTCACTTAATAGTTGTAATTATTTATTTGTTGGGAGAGCTATCGATAATGATTGAAGAACTTGTTTGTGATTAGATACTGCTTTTTCACGCAATATTGATTAAGTTTTAATTAATGGAGTATAAACAACCTGTTTATCAGTAATTACTATGAGTCGGCTTGACGTCATATTGTTAGAATTCGTATCTTGGAGTTAATAAACGAATAATATGTTTATTGCTATTACGTGTGTTTTCAAACACGTTCTTGTTTCTATTTGATTGTATTACCTTTGTTTATTTAGGTTTATTTTGCCTTGTAACTTGCATCTGAAATACAACATCGAACCACAACACAAGGAATGGTGTAACGTGTCATATGTACCAGTTTCCGCGTGTCATTATCATGATTATTATTTTAAGTATTTGGCGTCACCTGTGCCTGGGAGGCGACAAGCGGAATGACAATCTCTAACTGATGGGGGTGTGCAGGTGGACTACTACACCGGGGTTTCCTGATCAGAAATGAATTTATTGTTTCACACAGAGAAAGGTTACTCTTTCGGACAATTCAAGGTTTTTTTTTCCTTTCTCCTTCCTTCATTACCCTTTTCACTTGGAATCAAAAGATGAATACAACACAAGACCATGGCCATTAAAAAGGGCTTACTACCTCGTTTAAATTTTGAGTTACATTGCAATTCTTTGTGTGATTCAATTGCCTGAACACCTGGGAAACGCTAGCCTCTTCGACTTGCACTTTTTTTAAAATCAAAATAGAGAATTCAAATTATACTCCATTTTTATTTGTATAGTTTAGAAATTATAGTGCGAAATGTTATCCATGCTTCAAAGTTAATATTTGTACTAACACATTCGACTATACAGACTTTCGCATGGTGTGAAACAGAAGTAATATCTATTATTAATCCCAGCCGGGGGAAAGGTGGATAGTACCCCCAAAAAACATCTACGCTGAGCCGATTCAAGCCATTTCCAATAATTGATTTGATATCATCTCTTCTGGATTATGATTTTTAATGCCTAATTTGCGTTACCGAAAGACCTTGCATGCACGTTAAAAGAATTTCCGTTTGGAAATTTGCCAGCACTGAGAACATTATCATGCCGAAATACTTTACAAAAGACGCCTTGAATCGACCAATCACAGATATGCATAACTAGTACCTTCGTATCCACCTCCCACCTGCCAACAAGGTTGGGTTTCCCATGAACATTAGCCCTTGGTTTTCCCCAGGAACCAAGTAATAGTTAGAAGTATTATGTGTTTGGTGAACAGTTTGAATGATTCTGTTTATTTGCCTTTCGTCTACAATAGTTTAGCACACAATGAAATCAGGGTTCAACGGTTAAGGGGAATCGGTGGATGGTCCCCTTCTTGTATAGTTCATTTGTACCATGAGGGTTAAATTCATATCGCCTAAAAGATAAATTCATATCTCATTCTAAAGTAGGTGGGGGCATCTTCATGAAGGGCACCTATAAAATACATGAATGAAAGGATTGCTATGCCAAAATGAATGGACGTTTTGTATCATATACTGTACTGCATTTATTTAATACATTCATCGGTCAGAAACTGCTTTACAGCAAGGACAACATTGATTATTATCCTCTTTCTACGGCTATATTCAAGTAATCATTGTTGTTTTTTCGTCTTTCTAGACGTGAACATCATTCTATTTGCAGGCGAATGAAGCAAGCAAGGTAAAACAGAAACCAGTCCCGCTAGATTTCGAAAATCAATATAAAAGGTTATTTTTATTCAGATTAATTAGTTTGTTATTAGGAAAAGAGAGAGAGAGAGAGAGAGAGAGAGAGAAACAGAGACAGACAGATAGACAAAAGTGGAGAGAGAGAGAGAGAGAGAGGCAGAGACAGAGAGATATATATATATATATATATATATAGAGAGAGAGAGAGAGAGAGAGATAAAGAGAGCTAGAGAGAATGATTTAGGATTAAAAAGTTATGAAAAATAAAGGACGTTATTGATACCCACTATGCAGCTTTTCTTCTGTTTATATTTCTTTCATGACTTGTCATACATTAGGGTTGATTTCCCCAGGAAATATTTACAGCGAGCTCGCATGGCGACCAATAGAACAATATCTTCAGGATTATGAACAAGCCAAAGGCCGAGACGAAGAAATGACATCCTTAATTAGAAAATTACCCCACCCCCTCTTGTGCCTTTCACATCATAGTTCTTTCAGTCTAACGTGCTCATAATTGGTACGTCCTGATAACAACATTCCTTTTGATTTCTTCTGGTATCACAACAAAAACAAATACACTACAAAATACAATTTTTTAATTACAATAGTTCCGCCTGGAAACTATTTCTTGTTTATAGAACAACATTAGAAAAATTTACAAAAATACACGAGTTATTCCTTCATCCTAATAGGCCAAAGATAACATTAACAATATCGTTACTTCACGAAATGATTATGTGAAGCATTATTTTCAAAACTAGAAATACACACGTTGAATAATAAGTATGCAGATCCTTATTCTCATATTTTCATGAGTACAGCACATGTTAATATTTATAAGTGTATGTTTCGTTAAACCATTTTAATATTCATGTTCCATGTGAAGTTTCCTAACAAATAAATTTTAGTTCACAAATTAATACCACCTTATCATTTCCCTCCATGGATCTTGATTACTGTTTTGTTTTGTTTGGGCTCCTAAGGGGGCATTCTGAGTAATATCAAGGTTTAAAAATTCCAGTCGAAATGCCTTATCGATATGACGTCACGATGGAATATACAGATATAATACATACACAAGTCATGTACATTTTTTCTAATCCTAATTATAACCTAAATATAAAAATATCTCTCTTTACAAAATATTCACTCATCGGTATATATACATATTAGTATTCTCTTTGATCCAAAGAGATACAAACCGAGTGTTAATGGTTATTATGTATAAGTGTTTATACAATCATACAAGTAATATACAAATTGAATACAAATGTTCTTGGCAGTAAAAGCATGTATCTAAACATTTAAAAAAAACATCCGTCATGTACGATCTCTTTGGAATGATATGTTTTCATGGTTAAAAGAAAAAAAATATTCGTAATGTTTTGTTCACTGGAAGAATTTTTTTTGGTACCCTCATTACCAAACATTATTATTTTGTCAATACAGTAGAATGCAAAACATTATTCCACTATTTTTTCGTTCTTTTCTACGAGCTCTTAAACTTTTAAAATATGGAACGTTTAATTGCTTTTAAGAACAATCGTCTCGATCGTCGTAATAGGAAATGGCATATATTTTGTTCAGTAATTTACTGATTCATTACAAAATAAGAACGAATACGTTTCAATCAATCGACCAACCAAAAACGACTGAAGCTACACCCTTTATATCTAAAAGTTATACAATTCAAAACAAGTTAGTAATGTGCAATATTTTGTCGTTATCTGTGAACGAACAGCAATATTATCGGAGCTTCACAAGAATGTAATTTCGGCTTTTGTTAATGAATTCTATACCCTAACGAGTAACGACAATTTGAACACTGGCATAAATGATGCAGGATGAAGCCGGCATACGCCCTCTTTCCCTCTAAATGCCAAGAAAAAGTAATTCTATGCAACCTGCACTTGGATTGATGGCACAGGGGGCTGCATTGCGCCCCTTCCCCCGCCAGCGGAAGAGTTCGTGTACACATCAAATGGGTGGCTTTTATAACCAAACACCGAGTGTGATAATTAGAGATATATTGTTGCATGAAATAATTATATGAGATTTATAAGGCGCCGAATCCACTTGAAATAAAATTCTCAATGTGAGCTAATTGTCTTGTGAAGGAAAAAAAGCAATCGCATAAAAGGATCTGCATTATAAGAAGAGGGACAGAAGTACGAAATATAGAACATACATACATACAGTGTGATGTAACTGTGTTTGTTGGATAGGGTCACTACTTCGAGCAGCATTATGTATTTTTGTTAAAAAGTATCTCTGCATAGGGTTCTGTTTTCACATTCAAAGCCAACAAAATGGTTTGCACTGGAAAATTTGATTGTGGAAATCTTTTGTAATACGGAAAATGATGGAAATAAATAACGCGATCGCAAAGACGCCCAAAATAACTAAATATGAATAGACGTTACCATCACCTTTTGATATTTGTAAACATTACAATTACGTATTAAGCGTAAAACTAACATGATTTCTATCGGATATACCGTAGGGCATTGAAATTGCCCCGAGTTGATTTGTCGAAAGCTGTTGCGACCTTGTCGAAATATCTCCATACTTTTTTCTTCATTTTATTAGCAGACTCCTTAGGTGTGTGTTATCATTGTTATATATGGTGAGCCCGCATTTCCGGTAAGTTTAGTCTCCGAGTTGTGAGTCGTTCCAGAGGGGCTGGTACCGCTGTCTAACCGGCAATTCTTCCTCATCCACTCTTCAATTGGCATCTCATTCATCATGCTCAACGGCCTCTGTGTAGAAATTACAATATTTGATAGGTAAAGCAAACCTGATATTTCATTGATAGCGCCCTATCGAAATGTTAGCAAGCCGTATATATTATCATACCTGCGAAGAAGATACGATAACTTAAACTAATTAACCACAAAACACAATAAGTTAGTTTCAGCGAAATATGTCAGTCTCCATTGTAAAGAATATGTTGATTTTTAGCTGGTGATTCTTAAAAATTAAGGCCGGTGAGCAGAGACGGACTGGGACCGACATTCGAATGGGAAATATCGATGTGACCGGCCCACTCAACCCATAAGATACATATCAATCGGCCGTCAGACCACAAATTAACCGGCCATCAGGTCTGTTCGCCCCTGCCGATGACTACAGTATTTTCTACCCAGTCTATTTCCAATCGTTATCTAGAATGTACGGAGGAGACAGCTTTGCTGGCAATCTTCAGTGCATTTGTGTATCAAAAAGACGAGTTGTGTTGAATTTCCTATCCCTAAACAAAATAAAAACAATACATTTTGATACTCGTGCTAGAGATAAAAAGGCGACTTTAATGTAGCCAAATTCTACTAATGGGGGCTAAAAATTAAAGTCGTTCGGAAAACCCCCAAAACAACAGGAATTTAATTGCTGGCTATTCCGTGTTCAATATCTTCCTAGTTCCAAAGACTTATTTTTTCCCCGTTGCATCAACCGTTCATGAGAGTAATAAATTATTCTTTCATTAGTATGATTAACATGTCGGTGAGTGTGTAATAGATGAACACCACATTAATGTTCACACCCAATGACGTTCTTTAACCCGTTTAATTAGAAAAGAATATATGTACAGGTTGAGAGGAGCGACCATTTAGGAGGGGGGGGGGGTATCAATAGGCCAATGTCATCAACATCTATCACCCCCCAGACAGCGCTTCTCATTATACTACTCACCGTGACTGGTCCTGAATCCGTATCATCATGCTGAACACTTGTGTAAGTGACGTCATTCTGTAGATGATGATAAAACGGGAGACATAACGACAGGGAAAAGTTAGTATATTTCTTGAATGCAGGGGGTGTATTTTGAGTTGTACAATATAAAATGCTCCAGCGACAATTCCTTCATGGTCCATTTCATATACGTTAACATAACCGAATGTTCAACTTCAAGTGTTGTTCAAACACTGTCTTTATACCTTACCCGAACCTTAAATCTAATCTATAACCCTGCAAGTTTCAACTCGAATTCCCCAACCCTATACAACTTTGAATATGTTTGCGAGAGAGTTACGTCCCCACATATGTTGCTTTCCACTAAGTAATACGTAACCACCTCAGTAGAATAAAGAAGTTCATAAAGATCCAATTCTCACGCATTTTGAAGATTTCATGTTTTGTATCATGTAGATTATTGTAATTCACTACTCCGTGATATGTGAATGACATATCTTAACTCTGAACTAATAAGAATCGCTGAAATAAATGTATGAAATATTTCATTCCATATACTATTATATAGAGACAACATGACTATACAATTTTAATGACATACATGAAATTATTGTTCAGTAAATAATCTGGAAAATCCACCTCTCTCTCGCTCTGGCAATTTTGATATAATTTATAAGGTGTAGGGGTATAGTGTCACCTAAGGAGATGGGGATGATGTCTATTTCAGGAAGAAAAACAAAAATCCTTTTTTTTTTTTGGGGGGGGGGGGGGGTTCGCAAGCTAACCAAGTGAGTGACCAAAACAAGTGTTGACAATTTTTATCTGCATGACATCCACCTTTGATGTATTATTTACGAAGACATAGTAGCATGATACTTTCTTGATGTTGGGATAAACATGTATACTCACATCAGTGGTGCGTTGAGGATCACCATCAGGCAAGACACTGGAGTAGATAATACCATCCTGCAAACAGAAATATAACGATCGGAAAATGTTAAGAAAGAGAACGGATAAAGAGAAGAAGTAAGAAACAAAATGATATTCGAATGTTTTGAAAAGTACACGATTAAACGGACGTTAGGATTTTGGTCCAATCGTGCAAGAAGTATTTGAAAGAAGACGTAAATTCTACTTTCTGGCTTTTCAAGATAGTGGCCTTGTTAAGAAATATTTACCCATCTGATCTTATTGCATGAAATGATTACATAGCACGTCTCATCATGCGGCTGATAACCTACCTGATTCATGTTTGACTGAGAAGAGAAGCGTGGCGGCATAGGATGATGTAGAGGAGGATGTACAGGTGATTGACATGGGCTTTCATCGTTAATTGAGATGTAGTATGGGTCATCAACGGGTATCAGAGAGGGAGGCGATGGCGATGTTATCTGTCTATGACCACGGAGAATCGCAGTATCCAAAGGGTTTGTGGTGATTTGGATATTAGTCTCGAGATCATGTCGCTGCCTCTTTCTGATATTCTGTTTCCTCCTTCGAAGTAAGGCGACAGACACGATTACTACGACGATGATAAGTATGACCACTACGGCAATGACCGTCACCACTGTGGCGGGAAATGCAGAAGTCTTGGATAAATCGACACGCTCTTCTCTTTCCATATCAGGAGCAGATACTGTATGCGATTCAAAGCTTACTCCGGGTTCTTCAGGACAAATGTCATCGCGTCGTATGCCCAGGACCAATCTTCCTTTGAATACTGGAGGGGATGAACATCGGGCATTGTGTGAAGTATCGAGCGAGCCATCAAGAACATTGGTGGATGATGCCTTAGACCAAGCCAGGAAAGGTTCCAGGAAACAGTCGCAATGCAGGGGATTGTGAGTGAAGTTGACTTTGGTTTCATTGGGTAAAGTATTAAATGAAATGTTTCGTGTCGATGTTAAGAGATTGTTCTGTAGCTTTATATCTCTGATATTACTGAGATGCGATAAAGCGTTCTCTCGTATTGAACTGATTCTGTTGAATGAAAGATCTAACGTATGAAGAGCGCTTAGGAATTCGAATGATTGTTCTTGGATTACAATGAGATTATTGTGCTGGAGATAAAGGTTCGTCAGTCTATACAGGCTCATGAAGTCACGGTTAGATAAATGCGAGATGTTGTTGAATGAAAGATACAGCTTTTCAATGTTGATGGCGTTCTGAAATATACCGGTTGGTACTTCTGTCAAATTGGTGAACTGAAGATCCAACACAGTGAGACTCTCTAAACCTTTGAATGCAAACAGGTTCGGGTTGACGAGAGGGTTCCTTTTCAGGTATAGTTTGGTTAAGCGGCTGAATCCACTAAAACAATTATTTGGTAAATAGGAGATATTGTTACCTGTGAGATAAAGGGTCTCGAGGGAACTGTCGATGCTGAAAGCATCGCAAGGTGGTGTGTTTAATCGATTGTCTTCAAGGGATAAAAACTTCAATTGTGACATATTCCCAAAGGCCCTAGGTTGAATCTCGTGAACGCTAGCATTATTCAGGAACATGTAGAGGACCCTCGGCATCCCATCCAGGATACCTTTCGTCAGGATTGGAAGATGATTCTGATTCAGATGGACTTTCTCCAATCTGGAACACCCTTCGAAGGCTCCTACCTCCACTGTCATGTTGTTTCTCTCCAAGTACAGATACTTGAGGCAGGTAAAGTTTCTAAAGGATCCTTGAGCCAACTTTGCCAAGCGGTTGTCCTGCATCTGAAGGGTCTTTGCATGGAGACACCCTTGAGGAACAGACTCCAGGGCCCGACCTTGACACTCTGCTTCTTTACCCCACTCGTCGAAGTCGCAGACGTCCGAACACTCTTGGACGACCGCTTTACTGTCATCGAGGTAAAACAGAAGCACCAAAGTCTCCATCAAAATTAATGTAGGGTCCACCATCCTGATGCAGGAATCTGTAGACAAACGAAAAGGTATGTTGTATAAGAACCCCCTTTATCAGAATTTAAAAATTGAATTGAATTAAAATACACGAGGCCTTTGCGAAGCGAGCTATGCGAAGAGTAGTCATTCGCGAGAAATACGATTTACACCGAAAAGATGATTATACGCACATCACAAACAATTCGAAATAGTTTCCTAAAATTGTTGCTCATGGTGATGCAAGAACTACATATAAAATCAGAATCTGCAATCTGGGAGCATTCAGCAATGGCGCGTCTAGTGGGGGGGGGGGGGGCTACCCTGGCCCCAAAAAGAAGACGGTCCCCCTATCCCTTGCGCAAGGGGGGGGGGGATGGGTGTTCATTCGGCGCTAAAAGTTTTCTCACGAATTTGGAGGAAAAAAAGGAAATTAGTGCTCCGTACCTCCCCCCCCCCCCCCGCTTATTCGCCTATTTGGCCCCCTTCCCTGTCGCCACCTGGACTACAGCCATTATATTTATTTATTAAACTTGTTTTAAATGCTTATAATTGATTTGTAATGTTTTGTTGGAAACATGAATAAATTTGAAAATCTTGAAATCTTGAAATATTCTATATATCTTTCTATATTTTCTTTCATGATGTAATCAATATAACAAAATTGATAATAAATTAGAATCACCTTTTCTGATACTAGGAAATATAATTTTATTCAATGAGTTCAAATTTGTAACTTATGGACGGTTACTTATCAATTATTATTATTTCATTATTAGCATTATTAGCATTATTAGTGGTGGAAGTAGTAGTAGTAGTAGTAGTAGTAGTGATAGTATTTATTCTTACTGTTGTTATTCTTATTATTTTTGTTATAATCATTATTGTTATCATTACGTTACTTTTATTCTTCTTCTTAATATTACTTTAATAACTAGGCCCGGGAGGAGAAAAATGAACTGAATTACTATGACCCGTGTCTGTCCTTCCGGTATAACTGATTGGGATTTGCAGGTGTAACACTATACTGTCGTCCCCTCTTCTCTTCATAATGTATATGCGAAACGTGTAGAATGAAGATTAAATAGGAAAAAGCACCAGGGGAACATCTTTTTAAAATTTCTTTTATTGCTGCATCCTGTATTAAATAGGAAAAAGCACCAGGGGAACATCTTTTTAAAATTTCTTTTATTGCTGCATCCTGTAATAATACCTAAATAGAACATTAGTACAGAAATGTATTTTCTACCTTGGTTTAGAATTACCCCATTAAAATTCATTACATCATTGGGATTCCCCCTCGCATTTTATTTTTCTTCTTTACAAAGCATTTATTCACTAGAACTCGACGCGACGCGAAAAACATCTTTTGTCTAAAACTAGTGGACTAGTGGCCTGAACAAAAAAAATGTTGTTTTGCCCTTTATGTAGGCGCCAGAACCTGGGTCGGTCGGTCGGATTTTTTCCATATTTTTCTTCTCCCCCCCCCCCCCCCTCCTCAAAACAGCGACCGTCGCCCAAAAAACTCGCTCGTTTCTAGCTGGTGCAGTGCATGGTACACTGTGAAAAAGTTGGGCAATATTTTTCAACACTTTGCCCAACTTTGTGCCAATAGTCAACCCAACCATCTATTGGGCAATATTTTCGTATTTTGCCCAACAGCTGGTCAAGATTTTCTTAACAAGTGGGCTACCGTAGTCGGGCAGTTGAAGGGTCAAATCTTTGCCCAAATTTTGGTCAAAATACGACTCAATTATGCACGTGTGAAGTAGGGTATTTACGTTTACCAATACCACTGGGCAAAATATTGCCCAATAGATGGTTGGGTTGACTATTGGCACAACGTTGGGCAAAGTGTTGGAAAAATATTGCCCAACCTTTTCACAGTGTATATATATATATATATATATATATATATATATGTACACGAGGCCGGAGTCTACTTGTTTACGCTAGCAGGATTTCAAAACTAGGGCAGAAGACGAGTGAGAATTTGGGAATAACTTGATAGTTTTATGCATTAAATCCCATTTAAACAAACAAAATACATATTTTTGTATTCATTAAACATTTTTTTTCTTTAAAAAAGGTTAAATAAAAACTTTATTGAAAAGCTGACAACCTTAATGTTTTTTGTTTTGTTTTTTTGTTTTACATAATTATAAAAAACGCAATCTTTTTATGGCATATTCTGCTCATAAGTATCTGCTTGCATGGTGGTGTAGATATACACTAGGTTTACGGTTACACCATGTGAGAGAGAGGGGCCGGATTGGAGGATTGGGGAGTCCTGAAAATTAAGGACTGTCGATATTTTTTCTTTCTTGAGTGTGTTTTCAGGACTCCCCAATCCTCTCCCTCTCTCTCACTGTCTCACATGGTGCAACCGTAAACCTACTGTATAAAATGGCATATGTTTGCGACCGTAATGTCAATCAATACAACAGCTGAGCAAAATATGAGAACGAATCACTTAATCAAATATTAGAGTTCTGATGAAGATTTCTTGAGTGTGGACATTTCTTGAACAGAGCTATACCCCTTACATGACTGAATCAAATATAAAAAACGTAAAGTGTTCTTTTAACAAACCATCACAGAACCCCACAAAACATTCTGTTCATACAGGCATGCAAGAACCACTGAGAACGGACAGACATAGTAGAAATAAATTATAATAGAAATTGTACCTTGTATTTCACGTGAACTTAATATGAATGAGTAACTTAAATGCAAACATTATTTCGCACTGTGTTCTAATAATTTGGGTGGCGTTAAAAGCACATCCATGCAAATGAACATATCCTGGCAAAAATACATCATAAACAATTGAATATGTGCATAAAAAGTCTAAATTAAATATAATGTATAGAGTAAAGCATCGAGAGACATATACTATCACGAGAAAATATATATTTATAAAAAATCTGAATAATCATTTTTGTCTTTCTAACGACAAATTGCTATCGCTCAGCGTCCACACAGTTGAGACCTTACATATTCTACTCTGTTTGGCGTTCATTGGATTTTTGATATGTATTAAAGAATAGTCCTTTCATTATCCATAATAACTGCTATGCCAGCTTAGTAGGGCGGCATGAACAGACACAAGTATGAAGATACGAGGGTGTTAATGAGAATCCAATGGATGAATCAGGTACTAGTAGACCACTGAGAGTTTAGCAGTCTAGCCCAACTAACTGCTGCACAAGACAAGGGCACTATAATATCATGTCGTGACATGTCGTTTTTGGTAATGGTGACTAATGTCAAGGTGAAATGAAAATGAGCGCCAAATGACACTTACCTTTGCGAAATGTTAGAAGACGTGAGCAGATGAGACCACAAAAAAATGAACGTATGAAACCGATGCTTCGGAGCAGAGTGAGTCACCCACGCGGTGTTAACATCTTTTTGTCCCTGGTTCAACTATAGACGCGGTTAGGTGAACTGGGTTTTCCCCGTTGCGTGAGCAGCGTGGCTAAATATAGGTCCTTGGTCTTCCCCACACAACTAAAATAAACAAATTATGTATCACATCGTTTTCACTTTCGAATTGCACATATTGTACATATAAGCAGCCGCATGACACAATCATGACCAATAATAACATTTCGTTTTTGTGTGATGATAATGATGGAGGGAAAAATCTCGCTAAAGAACAAAAACAAGGAAATAAACGAAAATGAATGAATAACTAAATAAAGATGTTTCATAGTGAAATATGATAAAATCAAAATTAAAAAGAATAAGATTTCAAAATGACTGGTTGGTGCGATTTACTCGGAATTTCTGAAAGACTTCATGCATGGCTGATTGTCAACGAAACGGAGTTAAGTTATTAACAAATTGGAGTCCGTATAATATATTTCGCACTGAATAAAATGTGCGCGAAACAGAACCAATAATGAACGATTTTCGTAATCGATTCCCGTAGGAAAAAAATGATGCTTATCACAACTGAGCCATAGAAAAAAAAGCGTTCTATTTTCTTCTTTCTTGTTTTTTTTTTATTTCTCCTGTATTCTCCACAAGCTTTTATTATTTGAATCCCTGTTCTTTCAATTCTGCTTTGAAGTTTTCCCCTTTGCCCAAAAGATTTGTGATGGTTGATTATGCTCAATATAGCTCCTTTTTGCTGCGGGCTTAGTCTCGATTCATACTTCTTTTCTTACAACATAAAAATATATTCTTCACCTTCTACCTTCAAATAAAACTAATTATTTTATAAAGATGCTCTGTTTTGCTTAAAGCTTATCTGCCGTAGTTTACAGGAGGGATTAGACTGCCCTGCAAGGTCACTGGACAGGTGGTTATCTCATCAACTCAGCTCTCAGTTAACATAAGAAAAAGAGGATCATGGGGGACCAATGGTCACCGATTAGGCATTGTTTGTTATATAGAGGGCGCAAGTAGCTACAAGTAGTGCAGTGGGCCTTTAATAATGATAATAATAATAATAACAATAATAATGATGATAGTATAGTAACATTTTATATAGCGCTTAATACCAGGCGCGGATCCAGGATATTGGTACGTAATGGTGACCAGCAGTGACGTAATGCGGGGGGGGGGGGGGGTGGGTGCAGGGAGGGGCGAGTTTCCCCTCCCTCCTCCGCGAAACGCGGAAAATTTGACGTTTCATTAAATCGTTAGAGAAACAAGACGATTCGTTGTACAGTTCTCGACTCTTAATCCTCGTCTTAATTCAGTTTTCCCCCTCCCGCGCGAAGCGCGGAAGCTGTTAAGTTTCATGAAATCATTAGAGAAACAAGACGATTCCCTGTTTAGTTCTCGTCTCTTAATCCTCGTCTGAATTCAGTTTTCCCCCTCCCGCGCGAAGCGCGGAAGCTGTTAAGTTTCATTAAATCATTAGAGAAACAAGACGATTCGTTGTACAGTTCTCGAATCTTTAAATAATCCTCGTCTCAATTCAGTTTTTCCCCTCTGGCGCGAAGCGCGGAAGCTTTCGATTCATTAAATCATTAGAGAAAGAAGACGATTCGTGGCGTTCTCGAAAACAATAATCGTCTGAATTTAGTTTCTTCCCCCCCCCCCCCCCTCCCGCGAGAAGCGCAGAAGATTTTACGTTTCATAGAGAAACAAGACGATTCGTTATACAGTTCTCGAATCTTAATCCTCGTTTGAATTCAGTTTTTCCCCTCCCGGAAGCTTTTATGATTCATTAGACTATAAGGGAACGAGGACGATGCTTTGTACCGTTTTCTACTCCTAATCTTCTCCTTTTTCTTCCTACGTCCTCTTCATTTTGTCTCCTCTATTTTTATCTTTTTTTTGGCCGGCGATTTTGGGAGGACCGCACCCACCCCCCCCCCCCCCCCCCCCACCCTGTCTACGCGCCTGCTGTCAGATAAACACATTTTGATACCTTGTCCGACCCCGAAAGCTCAGGGGTTTAAGGCAATAAATTACGGTCAGATAAGCATTAAGGGGCCCGCCTTAGGTGGTATGGTGGTATGGTATGGTATATTTTATTTATTCACGGTTAAAAACATAATACAATTGTGCCCGCATTCAGCAAAAGCTGTTTTTCAGCAGGGCCGTGATTACATATAACAGAAAATAAAACAATGAAAATACAATTTACAAACAAATATGCAAGTTATAATAAGTAAACATATTTACAGAAATTTAAGTACAACATAGAATCATAGTGATAAAGTGAGGGGAAAAAAAAAAAAAAAAAAAAAAAAAAAAAAAATTATCTACGAGATGGAAGAAGTGAGCAAATATCTTGAATTTTACTAATCTCAGTGTTGTAAGATTTTAAAACATTTATAATTCTGATATCGTTGGGTAGGGTATTAAAAAGTTTTGATGCATGATATAATGGACTATGTTGAATAAAATTAGTGTGAGGTCTTGGAAGGGGGATTTGTGAATTTGCGTAACGGAACCTATAGCTTACATTAGTATTAAATTGGATCAATGACGATAAAACAGGTGGACCAAGATTATGTAACAACTTAAATATAGTAACTAAAGCCTGTTTGACCCAGTATTCTTTTAGCATGTCAATTTCAAGGGTTTTATAAAGAATTTCAGTGTGATATCTACTATTCACTCCAAGTACAGATCTCAAACACCTATTTTGTAGAGTTTGAAGTTGTTTTAACCGAGTTTCTCTACCGTTCATCCAAATCGTGCTGCAATAAGCGAAATGAGGCTGAATTAAGGTTTTGTACAGTATTAATGCTATCTTTTCATCTGTGAATTGTCTCATTCGCTTTAGAGCAAAATATGTCTTTAAAACCTTTTTCTTTACATGGTCTATTTGTGGGTTCCATAAGAAATTACAATCAAGCAAAATCCCAAGATATTTGCATTCCATTACTCTAAGTAATTTTTTGTTATTCAGACGAATATCAATATTACAGAAACGACTCAAATTTGACTTTGAGCCGGTTAACATGACCTGACATTTGTCAACGTTAAGCAACAATTCATTATTTGAAAACCATTTCGTAGCTGATTTCAAATCATCATTGATTACTTTCTCTAATATCTTTGGGTCTTTTGATGCAAAATACATGCAAGTGTCATCCGCATACAGAGAAAGGGAACATTTGTTGATTGATTTATATAAATCATTCAGAGTGATAATAAACATCAATGGCCCAAGGATACTTCCTTGGGGCACTCCGCTTGTTACTTTCCTGCTCTGTGACATGCTACCGTCTACCAAAGTGCATTGTTCCCTATCATGGAAATAATCCTGAAACCAGCATATTGAATTTTGATCAAAACCATAATATCTTAGCTTTTTAAGCAAAATCTCAAATGATACAAAATCGAATGCTTTTTCTAAGTCAAGCGTTACAATACCTACTACATACCCATTGTCTAATTGTTTACAAACATCTTCTGTGAGAGATAAGAGTGCAGTCAAAGTCGAATGTTTTGGGCGGAAGCCGTGTTGGTTATGACATAATAGTTCATTCTTTGAAAGGTAATCATACACTTGATTAAACACAAGTTTTTCCAGCACTTTAGATAATACAGGTAAGACCGATATTGGCCTATAGTTGCAGGGATTAGCTCTATCACCACCTTTGTGAATAGGCGTCACCCGGGCCTTTTTCCAGACACAAGGAATTTTCCCCTTTCTTAATGACGCATTGATGATATGAGTTAGCGGTTTAACAATGTATTCAATAGAATCTTTTACGAAACTGGCTGGTATTTGATCGAGGCCAGTGGCCTTATTCCTTGCAATATCATGAATACATTTCAAAACCTCATTATCTGTAATCTCTTTAAACTTAAATGTTGAGTTTACTTGGGTCATATACTGATCCATATTACCACCAAATATTTTGGTTCCTTTCCGTTTAGATGGTAAATCTACAAAATGATCATTCAAACATGATGCAATATATTTTGATCCTGTTATTTCTTTTTTGTCAATAATTATCTTTTGAAATCCGCTATCATTGACTTTTTTAGGTATGATATGTCTCAATGATTTCCACATTGCATTTAATTTACCTTCATTATTCGAAATGCTTTCCGAAACATATCTCTTTTTAGATTCCCTAATCATTGATGTGACAGTATTTCTTAGTGTTTTATACATCACCCAATCATTCGATGACCCTGATCCTTTAGCTTTTCTTTTCATTCGATCTCTTTCTCGCATTCTACTTAAAATTTCATTATTCATCCATGGTGAATCTTTATGACGAATTCTTTTTCTTCTTAATGGAGCATGTTTATTTAAAACTAAATTGAACTTAGAGCTCCATCTTTCAAATGCACTGATTGGATCAGGGTCAGAAAGTACATCATCCCAATGAACATTACAGAGATCCAATTTAAATTGAGCTAAATCGAATCTTTTCGTATTACGATTATACATGTACTTATGATGTGTTTTCATGGTTCTTGCTCTACCAAGATTACATACTGTCATAAAATGGTCGCTCAAACTCAGAGGGATGACATCGCTAAAAGAAACTTTCTCATGATTAGAAGAATAAAACACATCAATTAGTGTCTCAGTCACACAGGTTACTCTTGTTGGCTTATTTATGTATTGTTTTAAATCATATTCCTCACTTAGACGCTTCAGAATTTTCGTTTGACTTGACATAGGTCTTTTTGATAAATCACAATTTAGATCCCCAAAGATAATAAAATCCTTAGAGGATGACTCTAAGAGTTGTAACAAAGTTTCAAATTTCTCGAAGTGTGCATTATGGGAATTTGGTGGTCTGTACCAATAAACTATTAAGAAGGTTTTTGCTTTGGTAAGCAGATCTCCAAGCACATTAGTTCCAAACCGTCAACAAAGAATTCATATTTTATACTGAATGGTACGGTGTCTTTAATATAAGTTATAATTCCACCGCCATTTTTATTTCTATCTAATCTCACAATTTTATAACCTGATATGGATATTTCAGGGTCAGAAATAAAACCATCTAATCGCGTTTCACATAAAGAAAAAATATGAATGTTACATGTGGTTAAAATATTACGAATCTCTTCAAAATTCTTCATCAGAGAGCTAACGTTTAAATGGCAAATATTGATACCAGAGAGTGAATTTAGCTTTTCAAAACATTTATCGACACTTT